CAGGGAAAGTGATGAGATGCTTGTAGATGGCGTGTTGAAAACTTTTACAGGAAATAGATAAAATAAGGCCCTGTCACACTGAGGCAACAGTTGGACAACTCTATCCGGCAAGACGGGAAAGTCGTGTTGCCGGCGACCCTGTCACATCGCGGCAACAACAACAGTCGGGCAACACGTTGCTGCCGCCCGGCAACCGTGTTGCCCGATTTGTTGTCCGACAATCCTGTCACACCGCGCTGACGGCAAGGACCAACACGGGGAACACTTCGCCATCTTGATTGTTTACCTTCGTTCGTGTGCGGCGCGGAATCGCTGGAAATGTGACTCTACAAAGTGCTAGTGCCTTCGAAGTTCGAAGGGCCGCGAATTACCACGGTATGACATCAGCCAGTGACTGCGATTAGAAAACTTGACACGGAGAGTAGTTTCCGCTCTTTATTTTATCGAAATGTTCTTCATTCCTGACAAAACAGATAGCCCTAACCGACAAAAGTGACATCGCTGATATATTTCCGGGATTCACGCCACCGTATGAAGTGTTTCTGTCCGGTTCTTTCATGCAATTCATATGTCTACTGTAAAAATGAGTTAGCACCGGCAGTACCCCAAAGCGTCTTTTGTAGCGTGGTGTTGAGCTGAACTGACGGTGCCTCAAAACTGCGATACCGACACTATCGGCCTTCATAACAACCGCTGGAATAAATATTTTTCAACGCTGTCTACTTGCCTACCGCCTGCTATGTGATCGCTGCATTCCCGCAAAACGTCCTAGGTATTTTGAAAAAAAAAAAAAAAATGAAGTGTCTGGTAGCGGTTGTTTCCAATTGCCAAGCATCAACAATCATGATCAGAATGGTCGTTTTAATGCTTCGATTTTTTAATCTTTGGTTTTCTGGATTATTTTATCATACTTAATCAGCGGGTGAGTAGGCATGCCATTTTATTTTACTATCAGCAATGTGAGCTGGTCTCTCGGCCGTTCTAATTTCAAAACCAGTCCGAACGTTCACGACCGTAGCTGAGCGTGTGACCGTTTCGAAAATCGCTTTCCATAACTATGCAGCAAAAACATTAATCGAAAGTATTTTAGCTGCACGCCAGCCCAAATTATTGTCAAATAACATTTTCCAAGCCTTTATTTGAGTAAGACGTTATTGATAGGGGACTAGCTCTACCATCGAAGCTATCTGTTGTCGTGTTGCCGGCCCGAAATTCGCTCAGCTAGCGATCAGGGCAACACACGTTGTCCAACACAAGTTGCTGCTGTTTTTGTTGCCGAAAGCTGTCATACCGAGGCAACATTTTAGATGCCGTTCATGTTGTCGTGCTGTTGCCGCGATGTGACAGGTTTGTCGGACAACATGGGGAGCGAGCAACAAGTTGCCCGACTGTTGGACAACGTGTTGTGTTGCTGTTGCCGTCGTGTTGCCTCAGTGTGACAGGGCCTTAAGTGAGATCGGTCTGTAGGTTGAGTGGAGACGTTTTACTCCCAGATTTGTGGACTGGAATGACCTCTCTAATTTTCCAATCGGAGGATACCACACCAGTCTCCAGAGACTGCTGGAAAATTTTAGTAAGAAAAAGCGCTGATGAGATTTTGGTGTTGGTTAGTTTGGTGTTGATATCATCGATACCACATGAAGAGGACATTTTAAGGGATTCTAGAATGTTTACTCTACCGTCATAGTCTATAACGATATCATCCACTGGAAAAACATTTCTTGTTGGAACGAGGGGGGTCTGAACGATGGGTGTAGATACAGTGAAAGCGTCGGAAAATACAGTCTTAAGAATATCGGCACAATCACTATTCAATTTTTCAACACCAAAACTACACACAAGGTTAATGTCTAGAGATGGCTTACCATTAGCAATGCTCTAATACTGACGAGGGTCGTTTAGTAAAATAGACGGTAGGGTGTAGTGCAAGAATGTGCGCTTACGCTCACGCAACAAACACTTGTATTCAGACGAGCTAGAGGCATGCTTAAGTCAGGCCTCCGGCGTAATTAGTCGTTTAGCATTCCTAAATAGTCTTTTTTTTCTGTTTGAAAGTCGGCGCAAAAAGTTAGTAAGCCATGGCTTAGACACATTAGATCTGACACTTGTACATGACACATAATGTTCGACAAGCTCGACTAATTTGGCTATATATAAATTCCAATTTTGATTGGCATTGTAGTTATCAAATTTCTCTTTAAAAGAGACGAAATAATCCGAGAGCTGGCGATTAATCATGTCGTAGTTTCTCTTGTGGTACAAACGAAATTTTTCAGGAAAAAACACTGGCTTCTGTAGCTTAATATCAATAAAACGGTGTAGCGCTTTGTGGTCACTAACGCCATAGGAGACAACGAATTAACTAGATGAGGATCAGCGGTAAGCACTAAATCAAGCATATTTGAACTGCTGTCGGTGACCCGTGTAGGAAACGATACTACTTGGGAGCGATTAAAGGAAGGGCACAAGTCAATAAAACCTCGGCTTACATTCGTTTCGCCAGAGCCGGTTGTCTTCAGCGTATCCCCGCCAATACCCGAAAGGTTAAAATCACCAAAAAAAGAAATGTTGTTTTACTATGTGCTGCCAAAAAAGACAAATAATCACGAAGGCAATCACAAAGGTCACGTGAAGCGTTGGGTGAACGGCAGCAAACACCGAGCAAAACAGAGCCGTAGCAACATTTCATGGAAACCCAAACAATCTCAAGGACACTTTGAACTGACGCAATATGACATAGAATAGCTCTGTTAACAGCGATAAGTACCCCTCCTCCTCGACGGTCCGCTCTGTCACACCGTAGATGCTGAATTTCGGATGATCCGGTAATATTTCATTAATTATCATCAATGTCAGGATTAATCCATGTTTCTGACAGCAAGACAACATCAGCATCACATGAAATTATCAGTGAAGACAAATCATCACGCTTACGTAATACGCAACGTGTGTTTGCGTAAAGAACCTTTATGACACTCTGCGATTTAGCCGTATCAGTAGGAACACTCCCTCCGTTCCCCTATCTCATGAGCTCAATTCCACTGTCCGACTGGGCATCGTATATGAAAGTCTTAGGGCCAATGTAAAGTTTGTTTGATCGAAGTGCAAAAAGGCAAAAATTGACGTTTGGCAAATGTGACGAGGTTATGGCGAGCACGAGTATTTTCGAAGAAGACTTCCGATAATGAAAACGAGCTACCTAACCTTCAGCCGAAAACTGCTTTCTAATATTTGGCTTTTGGTTTTAAACGACGCAAAACAAGTTATGATTAATCGGTTTTTTCTTCTTGAAATTTGCCAATTCTATGAGCACGTTCGATATAAGAACTCGCTAGAGATATGCCAAACTTTTCTTCTGTGAATGCAAGAACCATTTGTTCCGACAATGACCGTTACCCACCGTGCGTGTCGGGAGTATCTCGGAAAAGCAAGTTGCAACGACAGGAACGGTTTTCTAGATCGTCACTCCTGGTAAGAACTCAGATACAACGTAAGTCTTACATTGTATGTGACTATATAGATTAAGGGCGTTTAAATACGGCAGAACCCGGCATAAGGTCATGCCCAGCGACGCCGGAAAAAGAACTCAATCCCAGACTGCCTTGCGCACCGCCGCTTTCTGATCCAAGCTCCCATCGTCTGCTCAGCGCTCGGTCGACTGTGTTAGGCTTAGGCCACATCTGCCCCGTGATCTGCGACTTGCTTCGTCTGCTCGCTTTCGCGGCTGGCTCTCGACACGATCGGCGCACCAAAAGAAGTATCGATGCGAACCCGCATTCTCATCGCGGCGGAGGAAAACAAACAAGGAAGCAGGTCTTGTATACGGCTTTCTTAACCCGCGGTGCCATTCTCAGCGTTCGTACGTTCGACGACTGACACGCTCGCTTCCCAAAGCTATACGACGACCGGCTCTAGACGACGCTCCCGGCGCGGTGTCGAGAGCGTCCGCTACACGCAGACTTCCCACTGGTTAGGCAAGTGTCGGGCTCATAATCTCACCTGTTCCACACCGTTTCAATGGGCGGGCCACCATGAAATTGTGGGGCAAACAACCGCGTTGCCACGGCAATGCCAGGGCAACGCGGAGGTTTGCCTCATATTTTAATGGCGGCGTTCGTTAATTGACTTTCCTAACCATTATGAATGCGTCAAGTCTCAACGACTTGGGAGCATGAGAAGACACTTCGTGGACACGCCTATTTTGTTACACTTGGCTCCATGTATGGAGAATACGGACGCCATCTCCTTGCCCATTATAACCTCCTTGATCAAGACCTTTCAATTATTCGCCTTCTGGATGCTGTCATAGTTGTCTACTGGGCTCTGAGAGGCGTTCTAAGCGTGCACAGTAGCTCTCTTCCAGGAAGGTGCAGCGCATGCGTCCACTGCCCAGTGACTCAAAATTTTTCGCCTGGGTGATGAGCATAGATTCAGCGAAGAAAACAACATTATCATCGCATCAGCACGTGCTCAGAAAAGGCAGTCTGTTTTTGTGTATATAAACCGAAGATTGGCTTAGGCATTTATCTCTCCTTTTTATCGTGTACGCTTTCGAAAGTTCTCTGCCAGTCTTATCATCCCCGCGTCCCCACTCGTCTTGCCTACTGCCTATCTCTGTCCTTGTCTATTGCGCTTTTTAACACCAGTTTGTAAAAAGGACCCAACTCGCCTGCATCGCCACTGTCATTGAAAGAATGTTATGTTCCTCTGTATCATCCTGTGTATATCTCAGTATTTCAACGTCTGCCAATAACATCAAGCTTATATTGTTTTTTTCGTCAGTGAACGTTTACAAAGATTGTTCGCAACAAAGTAGCATATTCAAAAGCGCGTTATCCGGAATTAGCTTCAATGTCTTTTTTTGACGACGCCAGGCTTCCAAAAGTAACTCTCACAACACTAGCTTTGAGGAAATATCTGCAAGAGAAAAACATTCTGGATCGAGTAAAAGAACACTGAAAAGGAAAAAAAAAATGAAGAAATGTCAGGAACAAGGCAAATGCAGTTTCAGACACATTTATTTTAATGCGTGATGCAGATCGTCCAGTGAACTAAAGACACTTTTCACGCCTCTAGAAGATCGAAATCAACTTAAAGACGCATTGCCCTTTCATCGTCGGTTTTACATTTCGCAATTTCAACGAACTCGTGATGGTGAAAGAACTGCGTTCAAGATCAAGATCTCGGTTAGACGGCAGTCCTTGACGCAATTGAAGGTCTTTTCACTTGGGCAGCGTTGACGGCAACGTCGGCAAAATCTGACCTCCGCTCGAAGGTTGTATTGGGGAAATACCACGGACATAACGATTCGCTAACCCGCAAATGTGTCACGTGATAAAACGCCAATTTTCCACTCTCGTCCGAAGGGACTGAAATGGACACGGTTCTCACTAGAGTGACCCTAGTTGGCACGTTCCTGCAGCGTTATCAAAGCCGAAGACATCACCCAGATTTGACAAGGGTTTGAGCTTTCTGGTTGTCTTACTTGAGAGGGTGAACCTTATGGACGGTTGACAAGCATCGCTCTCACGGTGGCTAGGAGAAACCTATGTAGTCAACGGCCTATATGACGATTCTTTCAGAGTAAACGAAAGTTACAGATAAAGCCACTGTGCCCGGCCATCAGCGGAGGTTCTTCGTGGAGCACTGGTCCCGTCATGAGGACCTGCGCTCCGGTTTGAGTAGTGTTCGCACGATCTTGATCGAACTTCTTCACGGAGCGGCATCAAGCAGGTCGACTGGGATGGCGCACTCCTTGTCTTTCATGTAATTGAAGTAGGCGAAAGACGTTTCGTGCCACCACACCAGGGACAAGAAGACGACCACGTGCCAGATCTGGTGACTCGAGCCCAGGTGGTCCATCCTTCCGGGAAAGAAGCACTCAGGTATGCGGTACTTGTACACCGTGAACGCCACTCCCATGTAGAGGAACATGACGGCGATGCGCGGCAAAAGCAGCTGAACGATGGGTGCTGCGAATCCTCCGTTCAGGCTGAACCAGTGGGCGGTGGGTACCAGGCCGAAGATGACCAGAGAGCTGAGCACGACGAGTCGCGCCTTCTCGTATTCCGGCCCGGAGAACTTGGGGGCGAAGTTGAGCACGAGAACGATAACAACCATGCTCACTTCAATGCCGTTGTAGATTGTCTCGAGGTCCGCCCTGCAGGCGAAGGCGTAGTGGACTCCAGAGATGAAGGTGACGCTGAGGCTGAGCGCGACGCCCAAGACGTCCCACTTGAGGAGGCAGTTGTACGAATGCTCCGAGTGGCAATTGAAGGTGTGGTACACGACAGACAGCAGGAGAGTCGTCATGTAGGTCGCGCAGAGGGCGACGCAGTAGAAGCGATCCATGGGTGACGGCCGGGCGTCGTCGAGCCGAAAAAGCAGGTCGTGAACCAGGAGCCCGAGGATGATCAGAAAACCGGCCAGGTGGGTCCAGATGTTGAGCGTTTCGTTGTTCCACTGAAACATGCTGCGGAAGCAGCGACGAAGCTCCAGGTTGCATCGGTATCCCGTCCTGATGAACGGGTTCTGCTGCAAAAAGGTCGGAGCCTCTTCGTACGACTTGAGCTCGGGTTCTTCTTCTCTCTGAGCTTCTTTGCAGGGTTCGGCCGCGTGAGGCGCCGAGTAGTAATCCAAGACCTGCTTCCACAGCGACTTGAGGCTTTCCCCGGTAACGCCGGCGTGGTTGTACTTGGCGAGGCTAATCATGTTTGTGTTTCGCAGAGAAACTCTGAGCGCGGAGAATGCGTGTTTTGCGGAACGAGTCAAGCGAGATCTCTGTCGTGGAGGAGGGGACTCGGCCGGTTTTTCACCTCTGCGCGACCGTAGCGCCGCCGAGAGGCCTGACGTACGAAGGGACGTAGGGGACGCTGCCATGACGTAGACGCCGGCGCTGCCGTGGCCTCCAACTGCTCCAACCTCCCACCACGTCAACGGACTTTCCGGCCGGGTCGCTCGAACACTTGAGGGGAGGGGGAAAGCGTCTGGGTTCGGCGTACGCGCTTGCTGCATTCCAAATAAACTTTTCCAGTCGGCGTCGTCGGCGTTTCTTCGCAGATCGCTATCTTGGTGGGGTGGCAAATTGCCGCTGGGATTAGGCTGAGTATAGCACGACCTCGGATAACACTTCGAGAGCTTACAGGTTTCCGGCTTTGGTGCGGTTGGAAACTTGGGCTTGCGAAAGTATATTCCGGCGCGTCGGCCTCCGGCGAGAGAGAACGCGGAAGCGGGGGTAGTGGGCTAAGCGCGGTCAATGTCGGTCAGCAGAATGGACGTAAAGGAGACGCACGTTCTTGAGTGTGCGTTTTGTTTACGTGTCTGTCTCATACCATTGCTCGGCCTTGCTTTAGTCGTGCGACCCTGATATAACCAGCGGAGCGTTTGTTCAGAATTGCTGCTGATCGCCTTTAGTTAAAAAAAAAAAAAAACACGTGGTGAAAAAAAATAATTCTGATAGATGACTATTAATGAACACTTTTATTTAGCTTCTTTCATGTGTGTGACATTTTGAAGACCGTTTAATGTGTTCAGAGTACAACCTAATTAAATTTTCAAGTTCTGATCGCATAAAAAGCATGCTAAAGCGACGTTCCATGGCTTGCGCTAACGTCACAGCGCGTAATTTTTGGCCACCATGAAAAAGAGAGAGGGAAGCTGCTTTTGTAGGAATTTTGCGTGACGGGTTAATCTTTAAGCTTCTGGGAGGAGAATAGCGACTTCTCGGCAAATCTGAGAGATACAAAAGAGGGTCCTGGTGAGGCGGAAGCTCCTTCCCCTCCTCTTTGGTGGCCATCGGAGGGCTTTTTGCATTTGATGATGTATAATTTTCTCTATGATTTTTTTTCTCATTGCACAAAACCTGTTTGTTCACTGGCTGCCGATGGGGCTGAGGGCCAGTCAAGCTTCTTGTTGAAGCTTTTTCCCTTTGGCTCCACAATTTCTTCCAATGGAAATACAGATTATTATTATTATTTATTATTATTAAGTCACGTGTAAGCCAGACCCTTTTCACGACAAACGCCACCAGGCGGTGCTGTAATCATAGACGTCCCAGGAAACTTCCGGCTCATAAAACGAATGAACAAAGCTCAGCTTACAATTGCTGCTTGAAATGTCGATGAAATGGTTAACCACGCATAGACCGATCTCGCCAAGTATTCGGCGCATGCCTGAAGCCGTCACTGCGTAAGTTCACAAGAGGCAGGCAGCAGTGCTCGAGATGGCTAGTGCCGTCTCGTACTATGCACACGCAGAGCTCCAGCGAGGTAGGGACACTTGCAGAACGACTAAGATCCTTCGATGCATCGCGACAGCGGTGGGGAAGCCAAACTGGCTGGTGATATCGGTGTATTCTGCATGGTGAACGCCAAAAGAACGAAGAAGTACGAGATCTGTTCAAAATATTCCAATATTCTCGTAAGCCAAGTTGTCTTCTGCAAGACGTTAAATTGTACACCCGAGGGCTTTCGTTAAATTCCTAACTTTGTTGTCCGTGTAGCATTTATGCTTTCCAGCACCGTTGACATAAGCAAGCTCGTCAGAACTGCGAAGACGGAGCGAACGAAGTCGCTCGGGACGCGAGCGGCGGTTCATGTCTCTAAACAGTAAAATGGTCTATAGGGCACTCAGGCGCTCACGTAATTCATTTACAACATTATGAATTTAATTATTTCGAACGATTGATGTTCAAGATGTCCTATAATTTAGACTCGCTAATTAAGTTGGCATACAAGCGCCGCGAATATAGACGCCAATAAAGTTGGCGAACAGAATTTCCAGCCCAGCGTGTTCGTCGCTCAGAAAAGCAGACAAAGCACGTGCCGTACGCACGAACTCTAGAGACGCAGTCCTACGGCTCATATGCCGCACGGAAGACGCCATGTTCGCGGCAGACATGAGGACAGAATTATCAGCAGTCACACCTCAAGCAAGTTCGAAGCATGTTTACATGTTTCGAACATGTCTGCAGATAATGTTCGTATGACCAATGTCATACAAGGAAGAAACCTGCCTCGGACAGAGTCTGTACATTTTCTTTTGTACGATGTACAGGGGGGAGCCAATTCATGTGCGCTTTGCTTAGGGTGAAGACATCTGGCCATTTCGTCCCACACTTTTATTTTTATTTTTCTTTCAGAAGCGCACGGAAGAGAGTGTCCCTGCACGCGTTTGTTGCGCTGACTGTGCTATGGCGACATTTCGTTTTCGTCGATCTCTTTGTATTTTACCGGTGAGCGCGTGCTGTCGGCATCGGGTACTACAAAGGGTGGCATCATCCTAAACAGAAGGACATTGAGGCACCCTGGGGAGACCATGGCTCGATATGATAGCCCCAACCAGAAATACTTTATTGACGTCTGCTTATTGGTTGCTGCACGTTTTCTAGTATTGGTGTGAATCGAGGAATTATGGGTGGAGATAAAAATGAATCCGGACAAAATATGGAGAACGAAAAAGTGGTCCTGGACATTATCGACCCACTGCAGTACACCACGGACAAAGTAGGCGCGAATCGCCTTTACTTTTTCTTTTTTTACTGCACTGCTGATCTAATGCTCGATACAACTCGCGTTTAGTTATTAGTTTATTATATTTAGGTATTTCGTTATATATTCTTAGAAAGCGACTAGCTCTGAGGTGGCCGATATCTAGCAATCATTTCCTGGGGCTCGCAGTTAATATGGATCATCCACGTGTTAAGGCAATCGTAATACTTTATGATTTATTTTATGGAATATATACGATAATAATTCAGAGCTCGAAGATGATATTCGGCGCACGAACCACATCCGAACACCGCTTTGCTGTTTACCAAAGGGCATCGAATTTCAGTTATCTGCGCAAACATAATCGCCTTTTGAGGATACACGATAGCGCTCGAATACAATGCCACAAGTGGGAGAACAGGACTCCACCGTGCGCTAACTTTAAACTGTTCCTTCACGCAGCACGACAAAACTATATACATTGTGCCATTGCACTATACTCTCAGTCAGTCCGCATCGTGTTCCTCGCGCCAATCCCAGCGCAACTGGATCATTCCCTTATCTCTATTTTATCAATGATGAAAGAATCTAACCGGAAGCTCACAGTTGAAAGAGAAAGGTGCGTGTATTTCACAAACTACATTTTATTCCTTTACAAGCTGAGAACAGAAAAAGTAGCGGGAGCGTTGAAATCTAGGGTTGTGCCACTAATGCGAAATATTGTGGTTACATTACTTAAGCTGGAAGTACTTTTCTAAAGTTTTACATATTTTTCTCTCCTGCTTGTCTAAACGACTGGAGTGAGTAAACCTGAAATCATTTTCTTTTAAAACCTAACTTTGGACAAGCTAGTAGTCATCTATGAGACACGACGAGAAAAAAGTTTTTGCTATTAAATTGAATTTGAAAGATTGTTTTCGGCCTTACATTTCGCGACATTTCCTCTGGGATAATTTGGTCCAGGATTATATTTTTCTGCATCCTGGAACACGTATACCTTGGGAGCAGGCGCATTAATAATAAAAAAAAAAACTAAAAAATAAAACCGCCGTAAACATATTGATTACTATGTTCCACCACTAGAGCGCTCGCAGGACGGGGAGATACTTGGCTTAACGTTCTAGTGAAAACGCAATAAATTTTAACCATAATAATGTAAAATTAAATAAAGGATTTTTTTTTTTTTTACAATCAATGACATTTGGGTAGTGCGCCTGCCTCGAAATGTCGTGTCTAAAGCCACGATCGCACTGCGCATACTTCGTACAAAAGACAGAAGTGTTGAGAACGGGGCCAGTTGGTACTGAATCGTTTATTTATTTATTTATTTATTTATTTTTTATTTATTTATTCGAATACTTACATCGCCCAGTTCTGTGCATTATTGTAGAGGGGGGGGGGGGGGGGGGGGGGGTAAGGCAATACAAAACAATAGCAAACGATAAATATAGAGATACAGAAGAACTTTTCTGATGCAGAAATAGTGGATATGACTAGGGCAGTAGGAAAGACATCCGCAGAGATGACATCAGTTGGTAAATTGTTCCATTCGTGTATTGTTCCTGAAAAAAAAAAAAAGAGTGCTTAAATACGTTAATTCTGCATCTATATTCACGTACTTTTAAGTGATGATCTGTAGGCAGCAACACATAACTAGGCTCCTTAATATAACGTTCTTTCTCGATGCCGGTTCTACCATTTGGTATGTTGAAAAAAAAAATATATTAAAGTGAGCCGAAGGTGCCTTCTTCTGTCCTCCAACAGAGATCATCCCAGGTTGCGGCGTATTTCAGATGATCTTGATGATGATGAATCATAATGGACAACAGCGACGTTGCAACTGAGCGCTCGTCTGTTCTAATTGTCCTTCTTGTTTCGGTGTGTTTTGTGCGCTCCGTTATTAAATACAAAAGGCATTCTGGATTCTGCAGGCTACTGTCTGAGACTGTCCCTTTCTTGCAGGACAATAATGCCACATAGCTCATAAAAAAAAAAAAAGAAAAAAAAAAGCTGTGTGTAGGCATGTTTGAAGCGTATATATCTGTACGAAGCAAGCACGCTTTCGTCGGGTCCACGGATCAGTCTGTCGCCCTCTCTGTAGCGAAGTCTCTTGTATCATGTTCCCTTTACATTTCCATCGTAAAGTGGCGATCTGGTCACTGCAAGGCGGCCGCTAATAGGGAGTCTTTAACAACGCTTAAAACTAATTGACGCCGGCAAAAGTCTGCCCAGCTGCAAGTCGGTGGAAGGGAGGATCAAATTTCACTATGCCTACTGTGAATTGACGCG